AATAATAACCTTTATGTTTCAGCAACAGCTAAATACAATACTGTGCTGCCGCAACTGCAGCGGTAATTGTCAGCATTCCGGAAAACCCGCTGCAACTGCTCCACAGAAATCCATTATTCTGGGCAGCCGTAGTAATCTTCCGCTTCTTTAGTGCGTATTCCCATTCCTCTGCTTTTCCCTCCTTCAAGCGATTTCTCATCCACGCCTGGACTGGAAGCAGAAAGGACGTCGATCATCTTTTCCTCAGAAAACTTCATGAGGCAGAGTAAAGATGGCTTGATCATTGATGCTTGAAGACAAAATTCGAACAAGTCAATGCTCGTTAGAAGGACTGATACTTGTAGTGAAGACGATAAGTCAAGTACTTCGCTTTTCAAATTACTTTCTTGTAGTGCATCCAAAAAAAGAAAGCCGATGGAAGGGAGAAAATCCGATTCAGTTACTTACTTAAGCGAGTAGATAGTACCATTATATGTTACTATCACTGTGACCATATCTTCATCGTCGTTGTCGTGTCATTATCACGGGCAACAATTGCAGATGGTGTAAATGAATCGGCGTCGCTTTCGGAAACGAAAGTAAAGAAACTTGGTGAAGAAAGCGAGGCTTTGCTTGCTGCCTATACGTCAAAGCATTTTGTGAAATCATATCCAAAAGGCCTTCGCCAGGATTCCAGCAATTTCTGCCCAATGCAGTCCTGGATCGCCGGAGTACAATCGGTTGCACTAAATATGCAGACTTATGATGAAAACATGGATCTCAGTGCGGGACTGTTTCGGATAAACGGCAACTGTGGCTACGTTCTGAAACCGCCTGTCCTAATTCGTGGTCTGGGTAAGCAACCTCAAAGTCGTGATTTAATTACCAGATAAGTTTGCTCGATTTAACGTTTTAGTATTATAGAGATGCGACCAGAACTAGAGTGCAAATTAGCCAGATCCTGCATCTTTCAAGACTGCATCCAGATGAGAATCGGACTTTTCAGTTTCGCTATCTGTAGATCTTTCTTTGAGCAACATTGCCATTATATCGCTGTTTTCGTGCTTTCAGTTCAGTTTACTGGAGCGCATGCAGACATTTGCTTATTTTACTGGTTATTCACTGGAATTCTGCGGTGCTCGCCTGCCCTGGCCTTATATTCCTAAACTTCACCCACTGACAGCGATAAACAAAAAAATTTGAATGGCCATTACGCAGGCAGTCTTTCGCGCTAGGATGGCGCATCGGGTGCTTTCAACTGGAGATGTGTTTGACTGCATTTCAGTGACAAAACAAGAATACTATTTTTGGCTTCATTATTTTCGTTTTTATCATTTCTC